TGTGATTTTTATAAGTTGTTAAGTTATTTTTAATATTTAAAATATCAAACAACAATGTATTATAGACAACGTATTTATATGCGATACTAATATTAAACAAATATCATTATTTTAATAGTGTGAAAACGAAGGTCGTTCTGTTCCGAAAGGTATATAATTTTATAATCTGCAGTTAGTGATTCTATATAATAGAACTGCTACATAAGTAAAAAAATTGCTTTAGTTAGTTTTATGAATATTAGCTTATTTTTTAACGAAATGAGCCGTTTGATCAGAGGATGTTCTGTCTACACATCAAATTCATATTCAGAGAAGCTGCTCAATCATCAATTTTATTTGAATTGCTCAGATAGACAAATCTTCTATTTTGAGATCTTTATTACAGTTATAATATAATATTATTTATATTTGTGGTTAATATATATTTTTCAAATTAGTTTTTATAAATTAAAACATTCATTTTTAACAAAAAATATAATTACTACTTTCGATTGGAAAGTAAGAATTATGTGACACAGTAACTGAATCAAAATACTTATAATTTTGTGTGAAGGGCATTTATTTTTGTACGTTTTGTGTCCTGTTTTGAAGTGATTTTTTTATTATGCACAATTGCGAATTTGGTTGAAGTTTAGCATGGTGGTAATTTGAAATCAAGAGAACGGGTAGAAGTGTTAACATGGAGGATAACAACTGAAATCACTAGACAACTTTAACTACGATTTTCGAAAGTTCTCCTTTATTTGTTTTGGATGCACTCTTCAGACCCTAATTTCCTTATCTTGGACCCATCCATCAAAATCTCCGTTTAAACAAAAAACCTCAAACTAACGTAATAAAGATCGTAGTAATCCGTGAAAAACGTATAAAAAATGTATAGGGTTGAATGGAAAAACCTCTTTGTTTCAAATCAGTTAACAAGTAAAGTACCGTTATACAATCAAAACAAATGCAAATGTATTTAAAAAACATATTGTCTCGGTGATTGTTTAGACATATGTACGTCTTTGCATCATTTTTACTTCTGTAAACCAATTCTTGTCATTTTTTTTTGGTAACATTGCATATTTTAAAGCTTCTTAGTTTCAAATAATAAACAGTAATTTTTTATTGAATGAATTTTTGTAAGAATTTCTATGAGACATGAATGAATATGCTATAAAAGTAGTCACTGTTAAATTAGTAGAATTAAAAAAGTATTATTCATAAAAAGCGAGCAACACTTAAAGTAAAATATCAAAATCAAGATCTGTGGACAAGATACTGGAATGCCTCGGAAATTACTCTTGTCTAAACCGAATTATGGAAACTAACTAACTTTAATAATTTTTTTGTGTCATGATGCCAAGTCAATAAAAATAATAAGTTCTTTATAAAATATGACGTATATTATAAATAATTATAATAAATATTTAATGAAGCCGTTAGTAATAAATTCAGTCATTATAAAATATTTATTATGGAAAATAAATTACTGTCTGATTTAAATCAGTATACCAAATTGACATCAATGAATATGAGATAATTAATGATTCAATGGCTTTAATTGAAACTAATCAGTATGAATACATAGATATGCTTTAAATTATAACAATGAGGCTTTTAAAATATTATAAGAGCATCAACTTTCTAAATCTTACACATAAAAAAAGATTAATTCATTAAGTTTTCGTTTAATGACTTATAATTTTACTTATAATTCTAAAATTGTATTTTATGGCTTATTATACTAGACCCTTCTTTAAGTAAGACAAAAAACACAATAAACCAAGTATTTTTTACTTGATAAAAATATATTTTTCATATAAACTTTTTATAGCTTCTGCAGTTAGTTTCTTCAACAACAACAACAATTACGCTGAACAAGTTGAATAGAGAAAAATTCCTTTATATTTTCTTAGAATAAACAACACCTTTTCGTGATATCAACTATATATGAAAAATGAGGAAAAGCCAAAACCGCTTACATGAGGCAAAATAGCTTTGAGGAATAAAAGCATCTAAGATACAAATCACAGGTATTCACGTTGACGGAAAAATGATTTTTATAAATTAAGATATAGGACTTCAATTAGAATGGACATATTAACCTTTTAAAGGCAAACATGTCGGTAGCAATATTCAGTATAAGGGTTCGCTTTATTTTCAACAAGACTAACAACAATTTCGTTCATAGGGAAGGTCAAAATATTTTGAGGTCCTTGGTGAATAGAAACTTTAAATAAAATAGTATATTTCTAAATCTTTTACCTAAAAACAATCTGCAATTATGATTAACTCATTTTCTGTAACAAAATTGTGAAACTTACAGATTTCTTTAAAAACAATAATTTGTATGGTCCATTATGTTTCTTTTAAAAATATAAAGTGTCTTAATTCATTTTTTAATATTATTTGTAATTCAAAATCTGTTATGATTGCATAAGTCAAAAGAAATATGATAGTTTTATAATACAAGTAATAGTTTTCTCATGTCCATATAAATGTCTTGAAATTATAATTTTAAAACTCTTGAATGTCCATTCGTGCTCAGTGAGCCTAAAAGCAACAATAACGAACGAGCACTTTAGTGTGAGTGAAGAGGAATGCGACAGGATTTCAGTGCGCCTTACATTTTTAAAGCTATGTTATGAGAGTGCAATAAAATTCCTTTTAGGGAATAAATTTTACATTTCGTTTAAGTTTCTATGGTTACTTCTATAATAACTTTGCTTTTTAGTTAAAGAAGTTATTTCAAAATTCATGTATTCAAGAATTTAAGACAATGGTTATCAATTATGAGTGACAAAGAAGTCATATTATTTTACTTGCATATACTATCATTTCTTTTATGAATTATGCAAAAAAAAAAAATTGAGACTTGCTAAAAAAGGGTATTCACACAGTTTTTTACACTTTGTTTCTTACAATATAATTACTCTATCTTTTATATATAATAGTAGGTACATAGATTGTAAGTAGCATAACATAAAGATGTTCAACTTCACTCGTGGGTTTAACATTTATAACTTCAAGAAAATAAGTTCTATTATGAGTCCTTCATGAAAACTGTTTAGAAAAGTTTCTATATACTCTTAAATGGAATTTGAACCAGTTTTTAGCAAATAGAGCTCTATTTGCAGGTGTTTAGAAGACATAACCGCATATAAGTTATCAAGTTATTTTAAGAAGCGAAAGCGTATTGGTTGTGTATAGATAACATTCTCAGGGTGATAGAGGTGTAGGAATATAACCCTTAAATGTTATAGTATAAGATTAACAGTTCTTTGCAAATAAAAAGCCACTTTAGCGTAAATAAATACGTTGGTAACCATATTTTATTTAGATCAACGACACTCTTAATTTGAACATATACGTAAATGTTACCCGTAGTATAGTAAATTTAAATTCTTTGCTTGAAGATTTTAATGGAGAATGTTTATATGACATGTATGATCGACATATAATGGATTCTTGATATATTATAACTTTAATGGTAATTAAACCATAGAAAAATAATGAAAAAATTGTGTAACTTTTGCCGTTTAATAAATTAATATAAATAACTGCTGTAGTTTCAAACAAAATGTGGTTGGTTGATAAAGAAAAGAAAGGCGAAGTTTTGGATTGACGTTCTTTTCCTATAAAAATTTCATTTCGCTAAAGCCTGAAGCAAAAACAAGTTAGTAGACCCTCCTAAAGTCGCAAAAATAGATAAAACTTAGCAGCTGTCACTAGTTTGCACTTTTTGTTACGAAGGCTTTTCTAGAAACGGGGGCATAGATAGATGGGGGGATAGATCGTTTTAGATTTTATTTCACTTGATTTTTCATCTATTCTTACATGTGAAGATTAAATGTTATGAGATTTTTTTATTACTTTATCTTTTATCATTAAAAAAGCTTTAAACAGACGACGTAAAACTTATATATATTTTGAATTTAATTAAGAAAGTATTTATGCGTACCGGATGGAAAATATAAAAACTAGAAGTATCTTATATGCTATAGTAAATTGAAAAACAGTTTCTTATTTCTCTTCATGAAAAATATTAAAGTAAATAAAATTGTTTTATACTTTACCTAGTCTACCTTTTGTATATATACGGTATATTTAATTACGTAATAAAGAAATAAAACTTAATTAAAATATTATGCAGTAGACAAAACATTTCATTTGGAAGTTATGTATGATAGGATCTCATATATACTCTAAGTTATTACAAATAAGGATCGATATTACGACGTGCGTTGAAAGCCATCTTCTATCTCTTTTAAAGACTCAAATAAATTTGTAAAAGAAAACAACGTTATTAAAAACGATACATTTACATAAAAAACCTAACTTTTGTGAGAAACTTGATATTACAATGTTTGTCATGAAATAGTACAAGTACCAGCCCATAAACAGTTCTATCGCAACCATAAAAGCCGACGTCTATAGTTGTTTATGACATCTATTGATTCGATAAACTTGTGCTTACCTCGATACCAGTTGATTTGACATCACTTCACCATATTATGTATGTGTGCCGGAAACCAAACAAAGGGTCTTTACTATCTTGTTTATCGTCGACCGCAAGCGGGTTAAGTAAAATATGTTGTCCCTACCCCATCCTCACTATACATGATATCAAGTAAATTTCTCATAATAGTTCAATTGCTTTCAACATGATATAGTCCCTGAGCTCTTTAAATGTGTTACCACATGACCTCTGAAGTACTATATAGGTCGTTGCCAAAATGGCTGGCAAGCACTTGATTCTTACAACAGTTTTGTAAATGTTAATATACGTAAATTATACAAAGAAAATCTATTTATTATATTATATTTTATGAAAAAGAATTATATACACATAACAGTTTTTATCTAGCTACAAATGAAAGACAGTGTCACGTTTGAATTTTAATAGATAACCTTTTACAGCAAATGAGATAAACATTAAGTTCATTTCTAAAACAAAAGAAAACGTTAGACATATATTTACACTTCACATTACGTATACAGTGTCTTTTAACTCATCAAACTCTCATTTCATCGATCGCCGCCTGTGGGAGATTTGAAGGATGTAATGATTTTCCCCTTCTTAAAGTTGCATGTGGTATTCGAGTATCTTCTCTGCCTGGGGAATCGGCGGAGCCATTAAGAGGATATTTTTGTCTCATATCTTGTATTGGTGGTGAACTGTTAAGTTGGTTTAAATTTTTTGGCAGTGTTGCGTATCCACCAACTTGAGGATAGCTAACATTTGGCAGCCTAAAACTACTGTTTCGGCTGCCCAATTTACTTGGCAACATCATGTTATCAATGCTTAATGTTGGACTAGGCGATTTTGGACCATCAAGCGGTCCCTTAAAGTTGAGATTCGTTAAATTTGGGTCACCTATCATTTTCTTTCTATTTTGCCGCTCGATGTCCACAACTAAGCTCGGGGCGAGGTTAGGGTCAATATGATAATGGGAGTGTTTTCCCGAAATTGTTTCAAAGTGTTTTTCATTGAATCGCGTCTGTTTCCCGCGAGACCGAGACTTATCCCTTTGGTAATACACTCCAGCAAATATTAAAACGTTTAAAATAAGAAGTGAACAGCCGATGGCTATTGTTACGCTTAGAGCGGTTGAATAGGCAGCATAACCTGCCGCTTCTAAATTTGCTAAAGTATTATCGGTAGTATTAAAAGGTTGAAGATCTCTTCCACTTGGCATAATAGTGACGCAGGTTGCTAATATAGTGTCAACTGTAGTTAAAGCTGTGTCCGAATATACAGAACCATTTCGCCGTATCTGATCATTATCAATACTTCGTGCTAATGGATCTGGTCTTATTACACCTTCATAAAGATCCGGCTCATTATGATTTTTAAACAAATTGTGACGAGAAGCAACATCCTCCATACCAGCTCTATGTAACTCTGGGATTAGTCTGAGCCAAACTGAAAGCTGATGTGCTCGAAAGTGATTTTTTAATCTTGATTTCAAACCTATAAAGAATTATTATATTTTATTTACTTTTATCATATTTTTAAGGAGTTACCTAGAAAGTTTTATTTTTAATTGAAACACGAAAGTTAAAATTTTAAAGAAAATACACTTATGATAAGACGATATTTGAATTTATTAGTTTATAGCGATAAGACATGTTTTTTCGATGAAACTTTGCAGAAAAATCGTATCTTTTTCATAACCCCTAAGTGTACTGACCTATTTCGAGGTACTTTTGGTGTGTCGAATCGTACTCCTCCCAATTTATGCCACGGAACTTGTTTCTTTCCCTCGAAGCCGGGAGGAAAGCTTCTTGTCGGGCGTTGTCATTGGGATTACTAAAATATATTGGTTATAAATAACAATCATAAGTACAAACAAAACAAGGTTTAAGATTATATATTTTTTTACTTTGGTAAAATAATAAAGAAATTAAAAAGGGTCAAAATATTTACCCGGACTTTGCGAAATTTGAAATAAAAAGCATTATTGATTCCGATAACGCAGTTTCAAATTTTGTGTAGTTTTCAGGAAAATGTCCAAAACCATCAACAAGCGGTGCCCCAAAAATATACGGCAATTCTTCCCCGTGAATTGCTCCCATCCTCTAAAACAAATTCATGTGATTTATTTCTTAGTTTTTAGGTTTATAGCTACTGTTAAAAATTAAGCGTAATTTTTAGACTTCGATACTATGTGAAATTTAATATTTCTATTTCAAACTTGTTATTAGTTGTCGTTGTTATTACGGTTATTCCTACAATAATTTTATGTATTGAAAATTCTTATTAATTTGAATATTTTATTTCTCCATGTTATTAAACAATAAAGTAAGGGTATAGCTAGTGTCGTCAGTAACGTACTCGTATTTCAGACTATCAATTTCTTAAAGAAATTAAGAATAACTAGTATAAATTCATTAGTTTTTTAGAAAGTTCTTGAGAGGTATTTGGTATTTTTTAATTTATTTTTCACAGTTCCTTTAATTTCCACTTTGCATACTCATCTTTCGATTAATGAAAGTAAATGAAGAAATTTCCGGTGAAATATATTTTGAATAAACTTTTAGATTGCTATAAAAGTTTATAACCAATTTCAAAATTTAACAATACAGCCACTCAAGGCGTTTAATGCCAGTTTCCGGAACAAAATTATCTCATTACATGAAAATGAATCCCTACACATACTTCTGGAAAACAATGAAGATGTTTTATTAAATTCCATAGAAAGTTTATGCTATGAGGATCGTGAGATAAATTGTTACCATTTTTTGTAATAAATAATAATTACAAAAATATAGTATGCAGCTTTGAGTCACATAATTATATTATATACCTTGTTTTTTTTTATTTAAGCGTTTGTATGTAAAGAAAATATATTTAACATACCTGTGGATAATACCCATTTTTAGTTTGATAGTCGAATACATAAAAGAAAGTTTTTGTCGGTCTCCCAGGCCCATCTTCATCAGATGGTGTTATTTTTGGACCACCACTTAGCAAATCTCCACTTTGTATTAAGGGAGCTACATATTGGGCGTCGGATAATGCGGACACAGTTGCGTCTCTTGTGTTTATAGGATTCTGAAACAACACAGAAATGTTATCGAGACTCGAATAAAAGCTTTCTTTTTGTTTATTAAATTGAATTGAATAGAAAGGGAAATTTCACGGCATTTTAGACATAATGGTGGTTATATTTTATGTATGACTAAATTTGTAATCAGAATATATGTATACATATATGAGTTTTTTACACATATATACATATATGAGTTTTTTTAATACAAAAATTATTATATTTATTTATTTCATGGAACTGATATTTGCCTAAAAACATAGTAAATAGATAACCCTTCTCAGAGAATCACAAGCTATTTGAGTAACTTAAATTACTCCACGTCCAGAAGAAAGACAGATAAATGTTGATAGCACCGATAAATAACCATAATTCACCTGACGCTTGATAAAGTTCCGCGCCAATATAAACTTATACTGACAATAAGAAATGGAATACATTTCTCATCATGTCTATCGGCTTTCAATTTCATCCGTTTACAAATGGTTATAATATAATGACACAAATTATTTCGCAAAAAGTTCAAGTATTATGGATCGTATGACAATTGTGTTTCATGAAGTTCTTTGTTTTAAGTCGATAACAGAGTATTGAATTACTCTCACGCAATGAAAAATTACCAGTAACACTCCAATCCTTATATTATTAGTAATACAATAATATTTTGTTTAATTATTTAGAAGCCTTTCGTAACTTCCTTAATTTCTTAACCAACTAAATTATAAAACAAACCTCTACCGTTCTTTCCCAGTCCGTATATTCATTGACAATCGTATAGAATATTTCACTCAGATGATACGTATAGGAATTCCTTACGTAAGTCCTGCAAAAAAAGGTTTTGACCTGTTAGAAATGACGGTAAATAAAACGTTCTCAAGGATGGAATAATTATATACGTCAAATAAAAGTTACATAAAATACGATTTCCCCCAAATTATCTTATGCGCATTCGACCTCCTACTGTTTTACTATCTCTGACTTTTATGAGGTATAATAAAAATTGAATAATGCGAATAACACTTCCCCTCAACACGTGTTACGTAATAAAACAATTTCGTCTAGTTCAGAGACAATACAATGCCAGTTTCTCGTGCAATATAATGATATTTACCTTAACATACGATCTCGTTTTTCTGGTTCAATCCCATTTTGAACATCGTGAGCTGAGAATTTCCAAAGCGCTTCACATGTAACGACGCCGAAAAGCAAATCGTATTTATTTTGAAAGAGACGTCTGCCACTGTCGCTTCTTTTTATGTGCAAGTTATTTTGATTCATATTATTTAAGGGACCAAAACTAGGAAAATCAGACATTGAGTGCATTGTCAAAAAGTCTTTAGCGAAATCAGTTTTTATTACAACGCCGTCTACGGAAGGTCCAAAGGCGGTCATAAAATTAGGAGGGGACAAGTCAAATGATAATAGCTCCTCTATAGTTGCATCTCGTAAGCAATCTACAATGATTTCATGGTCTCTTGCAAGGTCGTCTGGGATAGAACAATTCATGTGTTTTGCAAGTTTCAAAGAATAATAAACGGGATCATCTACTATTGCCCAAGAACTTAAAGCTGATCCTGATAACAGTATGGCTCTATGAAAAAGACCTGAAAAAAATATTAAATGTAATACTCTTTTGTCTAAAAGCATCTAAAATGGTCACATACTCGTATTTCACAAAATCATTTGATTTCATGTCGTGTCGATTGAAGGAGTAGGATTTTTTTTAATACAATATAGTAAAGTCAAAATATGATTAAGTAAATTCCTAAATAAAAGACATGAACAATTTAATTTAATTATCTAAAGAAAACACTCTTATAATTTAAATAACCAATTAACTTATACGTTAAAATTGACTCGGAAAGTTAATTTCTTGATGAATTTTCAGTAATTAGATAAACAAAGTATCTAAAGTAGATGGGATAAAGAAAATTTAATAAAGGAACGCTGAGAAGATCTGTTGTTTAACCTAATAACACCACTTAATTTAAGAGATTAAACACTCCATATTTAATAGACGTCTAGTTCTTACTCCAGTGTATCTCTCAAGATTAATTAACTTTAATGAATTGGGACGATGTAATTAATTTATTAATTAGCGAGGTACATACGTCAAATATTATGAAGTAGCACAATAATTAGTTAAAATAACAATTTAACCGAAATATTTTGAACGTTTTAGGAAGGTCTAAAAACAAACCTGGCATTACGGTTGGTGATATCATTAAGAAATTTATACAAGCTGCGCCCGAACCGTGACCCATCAGTGTGATGTTGGTTGGATCTCCTCCAAATAAAGCAATATTTTGTTGTACCCAATGTAATGCGGCTATTTGATCCATTAATCCATAATTTGCAACCCTAGCCTTTAAGTGTGGAGCAGGATTTGCGTTAAGAAAACCTGCAAGAAAATCACGCATAATTTTGGTTTAGGCAGCAAAAAATTACAGGACAAGAAACGAATTTCTCAGTTTCTCGTTTTCCAGAGAATTCGATTTCGTGTTTGGTAGGCGATCGTTACAAGGAAATATTACCCCATCTTTATTATTGTGGGATCCGAATATCGAATCTGGTAAATTGTTGGCAATTTGTATGCAATGAAATGTGATTTACATTAGGTAAGATATAGTAAAAGCAATAATCTAAAATATTTTATTATTATGTAGAAAAAAGTATATACTTTTTTTCCAAGTAACACATTTTATGCAAGGTTTGAGAACTAGTATTCAATTTTATAAAGTTGGTTTTATTTTTCTTCACATCTGATCATAGTTGTTAACAAATAAATACATATATATATATTTATATATATATATATATATATATATATATATATATATATATATATGTATCTCCGGATAAACTTTAACTGGATAAATTGATTAACTCGTAGTAATAAAAAAATACACTGAGAAATAACAGTTTCGTTTAATTCATATTCACACTGCTTAAGTTTTTATTCTTTCACTCTTTAATAACAAGGAAGTTTTAGTTCCCGTGGCTGCAATTTTTTATATGTACGAATCTAAGATCAAAAACAAAAATTTATTTGAGATTTCTTTGTGCATACTTCATTTTATAATAACTCCTTCGCTATCGGATGAGTAAAACTATTTATATTCCCCCTTAAAAGTGACATCTTGACGTTTTATATAAGTATGGTTTGTTATTTCAATTGTATTTAAAATAAAAAACATCACATTATCTTAAAATTATACAAATACATAATATTTTTTAAACACCTTTTAATTATAATAATTCTAATTATTACTTTAACTTTTATTAGTATAAAGATATATGTATTATACAAAGATTTGCTCGAAATTAACACATTCTTCCAAGTTACAAATTTAAAATGCCTGTGTTTATGCTTCCCAAATAAAATATGTCAATCTTGTTTTTTCTTATATTTTTGGAAGCACACAATTTTTAATAGTTAGAATAATACTTGTACAAAATAAACTTATTTTATTGCATAACCGGGACGTTTAACTATCGCCTCATATATGTAATAAGTTAATAATTATATATTTTTTTCAATAACAATTATAAAGGCTACGGCACCCGTAACAGAGTATCATAGTCTACTAGGTGCTATATGATAAACTTATTTCGGCCTTGTGATATATTTCACAAAACACACAAAAAACTAGTTTTAAAGGTTTATTTTAATGCTTACGCACATTAATATGTTTACTAGAACATATTATTAGGAATGTTATTGAGATCACTTACGAGTCTCCAATAAAAAAAGAATATAAATAAAAAACTTTTTAACTAATTTTTGAACTGTAAGCGAAATATTTAAAAAAATTAATCAAACAATATATTACAACACAATATTAAAGAAAACCGCAATTCTATTTTACAAGAATTCATAAAAGCAACAATATTTAATTTTTATATTTTTACGATTGATTTATAGATCCCTACGAATCATTGAATTCACTCGTACTATTCAATAACTATTTTACTTTATGGCCAGAATTCAGATAAAATACCTTTAAGCTGAATCGTATTCTTTACGATGTACATATATTTGCTTTACAATTTCAATCTTATCAACATACATATATGTATAATATACACTCAAAACTCATTCCTAGTGTGCGGATTTCAATTATTCCTTCAAATCAAAGATATTTTTTTTACACATACGATAGATTTCTTAACTTATTTTTTCTAGTAAAAGTAATTATTATGTTTTCAGAACTATAAAAATATTGTACCTGTGCATTGAATGATGGTTACTCCGAAATAATCTTAGGACTAAGTTCTATTAATAAAGAGGTGAATTTATTTATGAAAATTTTTAATGTATAATATTTTATTCAAGACCATATTTTAATTAAAAACAGCACAATAAAATTAACGAGCACCTGCTGTAGTTAACGACGTTAGTAAAAATTATGCTCAAGTTTATTCGACAGCCAGTTTATAATTTAAATAAACTTCTTGCCGTACAGATCGTTGCTCTTTGCCAATATTTTCAACGTATTCCAAGTTAGTACTAATGAGTTTGTACATTTGCCAAGAAATTACCTTAATTATATGAAAATAAAGACATTATAAACACGAGTTGCAACAAATTTATTTTATTACGTACTTATTGAATAGATTACTATTTCCCTTTGAGTTATAGCTAATGTTTAATATTTTATGTGTGTTGTATTTAGTAACATTAATTCCATGCTAAGTTAAATTTATAAATTAAAACCATATAACTCACCTAAAACTCCAAGTCTAAAGTTGAGAGTGACCACAATGAGATCAGTGTAGCTAGCAAGCACAGCTCCATCGTATGGATTGCCAGAGCTTAGTGAATAACTATCACCATGTACAAAAACTAAAACCGGCAGTGCTAATTTTGTTTCATCCACTAAAATTATTTTAAGTCGATAAGTTTTTATACATATGAATTTCTCCGTATTCAATTACGAGTATTAAACCCCGATTTAACTGAAGCTAAATAATTATATTACATGACTCAAATTTTCGTCTTAGAAAAAAACTTACTCTGTAATGGTGCAAAAATGTTTAAATAGAGACAATCTTCGCTTTGATTCTTAAGATAAGGCATCAGTCTTTTTAAATAATCTAGTCTGCCTTTAGGCATTTTTTCTAAGAGAAGCCGCTCGTCGTTGAGATCGGGTAATTTCTGAGGACAAGAAGGCCCAGGTCGATCAGAGACGCGCACACCATCCCAAGGTGACGGCGTCCGAGTTGGACTGAATCTGGGGCAAACAAAACTTTCTTTCATACTAGTTTTTAAAATACATAATTCAGAAATTCAAATACGAGATTTTTAAGAAGCTCAACTTTTCATGTGATAGTGAATAAAATTGACGTTATGTTATAAACTCACCTGTTAGATCCAACGGGAGGCGTAGCATAAGGCACACCTAAAAAAACCTCGAGCGGACTTAGATATCTATGTTCGTCCATCGCCAAAATAATCCCCTGTAATTTCCCATACTTAGTCTGCACTATTCTACTGCTTATTTTAAACTTAACGCTACTTTTTGGTATCTGATGTTCTGGATTTAAATAATATCTTTTATAATCAGCAAAGTCACTAAAAGTATTTCTTTCGTGATTATAAAAATCACTATGATGAGTGAAGTCTTCGATATTACTGAAGGGATTTTTATCCGAATTGACTTTTATATGTTTTTGGTTTGAATCGGCGTCGTAATTCTCATGAGGTGAATCGTGTTGCACACTTTTAATATTTAACTTTCCCTTGACATTCCTTTTGTCGCTATTCATATTTGTTGCATTTGGGTTTGTTGTTTTTAGAGATAAAAAAAATATCAACAAAAAAAAGTACAAATTGAAACATGCTTGTTTGTTAGTGAATATTAAGCGTTTTCTGTTATCACTATTTCGCTGGCCATTTTGACGCATTGCCTCGTTTTTAGTTCGAGCTTTGTGAAATTGTCCGACCGAACACATATTTCGTCATGTTTTCATTTTTTTATGTCTCGCTGTATCTTGGTCACCTTCACGCACGGTATGAATTGTCTGAAACAAAAGAGATAATTGACATGCTAAATGATGTTAACTTTAAATAATTTCATTATTTGCTTAGCACCGAGTTACAAGAAAATTTTACAATTAGTTAGGCTTTCATTTAACTTAATGTATTCGAATTACACGTTGTTTGGCATATATAAGTTATTTTAAAAAGTGAATAAATAAGGTTAAGGAAAAATGTCTTTTGCTAAATATAGTTTGATGGAAAACTGGACTTCAACCTAATGTTTCACCTTATTTTCTTGTCATAGATTGGTTATTCTGTGTTGGATATGATAGGATTAATATGAAACTTAAATAATTTTATTGAAACAAAAATTTTGGTAAAAGTGCATAGTTTTGTTTAATTAATAACATTTTATGACGGTAATATAAAAATATTTACATATGTTAATGAATAATTTGACGTGCAAACAGTTTACTTATGAAGTAAATATATACCTAGACCACAAACACATAACGAGCCGGGGTTAAATTGTTAGTTCTAAGCGAGTAATCTCGACAATGCAATTAGTCGATGATCAGCTATAACGATGCCTGGCTATTTGCATACAACCATAATTAACTGTAACAGCAGTAATGTACTAGATGATATCAGAAACTTCATGAAGTATGTATCTATTAATTGTAACGAGAATCGATGAAAACTAAAAAGTATATTTGATTTAAAAAGTATATTGCAATTTAATAGTAGTTATAAAACAATTTTCAAGAAATATGCATTACTTTTAAAAACATTAATAAAAGTTGTGTGACAAAAAAATAATAATAAAAAAGCCAGGAAATACAGTCGGTTAGTTTCATCTGTTACGGTCTCGTAAAGTTTTACGATTCATTTGGCATGATTGACGTCACAGATTGAATGATCCAATCCACCACCAACTTTTTTCATACAGAACATAAATTTTCTACCTTTTATCAATATCTGAACATCTCTGACACATAATATTTTTTATATATATCCTTTTACAATAGTTTTAAATCATTATCTTACACTGTATAAGTAGGTAATCATACTATTAAGAGTAGCAAAAATAATGATTTTATTTGAAATATGAATGAGCGACTAAAGTATTTGTATTATATGTATTAATAATAATTAATTAATTGGGAAATGTATTAATGACAGTTAAGGTCCGTCGGTGTGCGGGGGTCAAAGTATTTTATAATAATTCTATAACTAATTTGTTGCAACGGTTAAATTACAAAGCTTTAACAAAATATGTTAATTATAATAAGTGTATTTTAAATAGAATCTTTACAATAGTTTTGAGATGAGACTATTTTAAATTACATTATTTTTGTTAAATTTACAGCAAAGATAAATAACTTCATTCATAAGAAGAAACGTTATTATATTCTACATTTGTAAATTTATTTTTAATAACCTTAAAGCAATATTTAGACTCTATATATAGAAAAATATTCCAATGTTACTTCTTTTCTTAATTGACCATTCTTATTTCTATGAAAAACTTCGATATATACGTAAACAGATTAACTAAAATCTATATTAGTCTCAGCTTCGATCATAGTCATTATTGCCAGCGAAGTTATTGTCATCATAACCTATCCTATATTACATATAATACCGTCCGATGTTATTGAGCAGCCTACCATAACATTTACACTTTACGATGCTATGTTAACTAACACTTTATAAAACATACACATTTATTTTATGGTCCTTTGTATGAACGCAGATTAAAGATATTGGTAATGTCATTAATGGAGTAGAAAATACATTATAATTTATCATTTATTTTTTAAACCATAGTAATAAGTGGATATGTAAACTATTTGACATTTTTTTTCTCTTACATAAAAAAAATAATTTAATATTCAATATATACATATTTTATTAATAATAGAATAGTTTCTTGTCTATACATATTCTCACATATATTTTGTGAGCATTTTCTTTCATATTTTTTTAAAAAACTAATATTAAGGACCCTTAATACATGCTTATGTTTATTCCTTTCTTTTAATAATATTCAACCATGACACATTTATTTATAACGCTTTAATATTTTATGTTTTTGTTTTATGAATAATTGATCTCTAATAAAATGCTTTAAATGAAATAAATATGAGTGCTACACGGTCGGAAGAGTGCAGGAATGTAATCAAATTTCAAGATAGGATTCTTGTCACGCTACACAATCTTTCGTTTTACGTGTAAGGAATATTTTATATAGGCAACGGGATATCGATTTTGATACCATTGACTTAAATGTTGGTTTCGTTTGCAATAGTTTATGACAAAGAATGCTATATCAAAGGCTAGCCGGAGATAAGTTTAAGGGTACTTTGAGTTTCTCGTTATATGTAGTGGGTGAACGCTTCAATGTTAAAGTTGAACAGTTGGAAATAATTGATTCTGTCTTAGCAACTTTGTTAGATCCTTTGTTGTACCTCTGTGTACTCAGCGAAGAACTCCCAACTATGGCATGCTTTGATTATTATTATATGTAAGTAATATTGTAATAATTTTGCATTTAACGGTAATTGTTTTAATATGAACATATTAATTGAATTTTATATTTTTTATATAAAATAAATACTTCATCCACACAAAGGCATGATAATAAATTGTGGATACTTTAAAATTATATTTTAAACTATAATAAAATTATGACGAGATATATTTTATTGATTACAAGAAAGGAACTAGAGCGACATAATATCATGTTCTAGTTTTCTGTCTATTAGTGCATATTACTGACTCAGATGTAGATAAGACTTTGCCGCAGTAATATATATAATCTCGGAACCAGTCATATATATTTTTTTTATGTTATAAAGTAATTGTAATAGGCTTTTTCATTGCTACTTTATCGCTTGATCTCTCTTTAATACATCATTTTGTAACTTATCTTGACCAAAAAAAACATCAACAACAACCAACTACCAATCACTGGCAAAAACAAATACTCCTTCACCATACAATACCTACACTTGTTTAAAATTATATAAAAGTAACCGTACATAACTGATCCCTATTTTAAAGTTTAATTGATTGTAAGTTAAACACAGACCAGCCGGACGCTTAGGAAAATAAAAATAAAGAATGAAACATTTATGAAATCTGTATCTATATACATATATATACATACATATATATACCTATTTACTCAATTTCAGCCACGATAATTGAAAAACATTACAGTATCGGTAACCATTAACTAAAAACTATATTGAAACCTGATACAACGCCTAAAGCCTGTAATCAGTGCGTCTAAGTTAATTATAAATTACAGCCTGGTACACTGGCACCACGCCTGTTGGGTCGCAGCCAAGACAAATTGCGTACAAAAAATATATAGCAAGTAGTATCCGATAACAGCGTAGAAACATGACGGAATGATGTCTGCAACATGAAAGCGGAAATTAATAAAGTAACTATGAAATGCTTAATTAATATGTGAATATTATATGTGAATGACTTTATTAAAGATGCTTCTGTACTCGACTGTATATCTTATATAATGGTTTACAAGCAGAACTTTTTGGGTTATTCGTCAGTTGTGGTCAGTTCAAATTTTATTAGTACAAATTTTGTATCCTAGTATAACCCGGTTGCCATAAATTCAAAGTATAAGAGATAGTTCCATATTTCTTTTAATTTTTAACACATTTATTGATAAAAACAAACTTTATTGAAAATGACTGAATACATATATATCCGTATGAAAAAGATAGTTCTTATTATAATCACTGTTAATTTCCACACCATATGATTTATAATACAATTAAAATATATAAATTTTATTTAATCTAAAAACATCATCTTCATCTGGTTCGTATTTAAGTATGTCTATGTAATAAAACTCTCAACTTCCATTCAGTTTTCATTAAAATAACATAATTTCTAAATATATTTAATTACGAAAATATGAACTATTAATTTCGGGTTTCAGAACTTTATTTAAAAGAATTTACATTCACTTAAAACAACAATACAATTATAAAAAATTTGTTGGGTAGAATTTTGAAATGTGCAATAATATTAAAGTAATTGATATTGACGTCGAATTATATAAGACAAAATGTTAATTTCACGTCGTTAAAATTAAATTAATTCTAAAATCCAGCAGAATTCACAATTGAAAAGCGAAATAGAATTGTAAATCAGAATTTTCATGCTTAATCTGATCTTGGATATATATTATTAAAGGATATTGAAGGCTCTCGATCAAATTGATTTTGAAACCAAATGTAGTTAAAAACGTAACGAATAAAAATAGGCCAGAATTTCTATCAAAATTACGCAAGGTTTCGTCTTATTACAAACTCCTTAAGAAGTCTTTATAAGAAATATTTTTATACTGTAAAAATACTTAAAATATGTGTGAGTTGGTAAATATATGTAATAATAGTCGCTCGTATTGGTAAATCAACATTAATACACATAATACATAATAATTGATACAAATTTTGCGACTCTGAGCAGTTTAATACTTTGTTTGTTTTATTCTTAAACTGAAAAGTATTTTAACCTGTGGTTACAATATTGCAAAACATTTTGGATTTAAAACAATGGCGAAGAAAAATAAAAAAAATAATTTACTGGAATGTGCTTTTCGTAGAAATTTTTATATTAATATGTGAGAAATACATTCTTAACTTTCTTTTTACTTCCTGAAAAATGTTATAAAGATAAATTACTAACAATGTTGATAAAATTAAAGTGAAATACTCATTTTTCTATTGGAAGTTTAGCCATCAGGTCGCTGGTATTTCAAATTCTTTGAATACACTATTCACTATTTGGTAACAGATATGTATGTACTTCGCGAATGGTGTTTATTTATCCCTATGTAAATGTTTGTGCTGCAATATCGAACGTTCCCAGTTTCCAGTTCAATTGGTAACTGGTACTGTTTGAGGGAAAAAGTTAAATGAATTCGATGTAA